ATTGGTCTTTGTTGCATGATAATGCACCGAGTCACTTCATTGATTGTCCATCAATGTTTGGCTCGAAATCGTGTCTCTGTGTTAAACCATCCACCGTATTCATCTGATTTGCCCCCTGCGACTTCTTATTATTCCTAAAATTGAAATTGAAATTGAAAGGACGCTTTTTTGATAACATTCCGACTATCCAATCAGCTTCTACACAGGCAATAGAGGCAATTCCGCAAACTGAGCTAGAACATGCATTTGAATCACTATTGAATCACTGTAACAAGTGTATTGAAGCCAGAGGAGAATATTTTGAATAATAAAACCAAAAAATATGCATATTGTTGTTTCAATTATGATTTTCAGGCCCTGTCCGGGAACATATTTGTCGCATTGTGTATAAAGATACGATATGTATACTTGATTAATCATTTTGATGCATATTGTACTAATTTTGTATATCATTCTTTAAATACAAAAATTACGCTAAAATTAATAGCGTTTACGGCCCGATCGAGTTTGCATCAACTTGAGTTGAAAAATGCTTCGCTATTGGTTGACGTTACACACTCTACCAATAGGAAAGCACAAAACATTATTACATCAATCCAGATTGGAAAACATCATAAAATAATTTAATAGAAAGTTACTAGTTAGTACTAAAGCACTATAATATAGGTATTCGTATCCGCCATTTTTAGTCACTTCCCCACTCTTTAGTCTCTCTTCAGTTTTCTTAATTTAGCGACGGAGTGGGGGGAGAGAGAGAGAGAGAGAGAGAGAGAGAGCAAAGGATTGAAGAAAGGAGCAAGACAGTGAGAAAAGGACTAAAAATGGCGGATGCGAATACTCATATTATAGTACTTTAGTTAGTACGTGTATCAAGTACGATGTAAACTAGGCATATAAATATATGTCCATGGCGTATGTACTATTCCTGAGGATGTGCAATAGAGCTGATATTCATAGTCGGCTCTTATATTTGAAACCGTCTTAAATGCGGTTTTAAGAAGTCACGAACCAATCAGAAGGCCGCATTAGCTACTTAGAACTTAAGACGTTCTTAAAATAAGAACCGATTATGAATACCAGCCTAGGAGAATAAATTGTGGTCAAAATTTGATTGGTTGTTTCTAGTATTGCTTTCGCCAATAGTCCGAATTTAATCGATAAAATCGCGTTTTTATCTTTGGAGTCTTATCTTCTATAATATGCATAACATAAAGTATAGTATGTTAGCGCGCTAACATCGTGTTGTAAACGCATTCTGAATACGGACCATTAAGGTTTTAACGAACTGCTCAAACTGGCCATTTCAACGACAAAAAAGCTCACGTGACGTCTTTTGTCGCAAAACTATTAGAACGACAATTTTATACGTAAAAAAGACGAGAAGCGCTAAATTTAACATTTAAACGACAGATTCAATGTTTTTCGTATTTTTCATGTATCATTTGCGATATTAATACGCTGAATTAAACAGTTATTAGATTATTCTGATTGCATCGAATCCTCTATCAGCAATAAAAAAAAGAATTAGGTTATATATATCGCAATGGTGATCAACACGGTCAATACAGTATGAGTGCTTTCCAATTGTTTAACGCATCTTAACACAAATATACACAGGAATATACAGTGTAACATTGTGCACGATTCAATTGGAACAGAATATGTACGCTGTGCACGGTTGAGATCCATTTCGGGTAGAGTTAGGCCGAATTCACATCTTGAGGGAAAAACGGAAAGCGGAAAAGCTAAAGCCAATCGGAACTCGCAATAGTAGTAGATGGTACATTTCGCTTGTTCTGTCTTTCCGCGACTTCTGATTGGCTTCCGCTTTTCCGCTTTTCGTTTTTCCGTCAAGGTGTGAACCTGACCTTAGATTAAATGTAGCTTTTTCCGCCTATTATTAAACAAAAAAAAAATAGAAGTGCCGGCCACTCAACGTCATTTATATTGGGTCATCTAAAAAGTATCCGCGGTTTTTTGTCACTAGATGTGTGTTGATGGTTATATATCTAGTGACAAAGTATCGCGGATACTTTTTAGATGACCCAATAATTGCCACAGTTAGTAACATATAATTGTCACTAGAAAACACCAGGAGATCGATTCTGTATCTTGAAACGAGGTAAAGATTACAAAAGTAAGCGAATTTACTAGAATACTAATAATTTCATTGGTCAACATCTAATAAATCTGCTTTTGTAATTTTCACCTTGTTTGAAGATGCAGAATCGACCCCCAACTTATACAGTCCTCGACTGAGTACAGGGAGTCGATTCTGTATCTTCAAACAAAGTAAAAATTATAAACAATGTAATTAAAAAGGCATACACCACGAGTGCAAGCTGTTAGCAGCGAAATATTTATATTTTAATAGATTACAATAGAATAAAAATAATACAATATAATAGACATATCAAGCCATCTTCTATTACAAAATTATAATAATATGTGTAACTTAATGTTGAGAATAACATAATGTTGAGAACAAAAAACTTAATTTTGCATAAATTTTATTCATGTTATCATAATGATATAGAACATTTTACACGCTCGATTACAATTATATTTTCGAAGCGCTTGACGCTTAGGTTATTGTTATACAACAATTTTTTTTAATCCATAAAATCATGTCAAATAATTCAGAAGCCAATTGTCGTTTTTTTGTCACAAAAGTTTTTTTGTCACGAACTTATTAAAACACATAATTTCCAGATTCTATTAAATGTGAAATTTATAAATAATGTTAATAGTTCTTCAATTGAAAAAATAAATTTAACTTTGATATATTGGGTCATCTAAAAAGTATTCGCGGTTTTTTGTCACTAGATGTGTGTTGATGGTTATATATCTAGTGACAAAGTACCGCGGATACTTTTTAGACGACCCAATATATAAAAATTATGATGCCTGCGTTAACAATAAATTGAGTTGTGGAATCCAAGACTTGGAAAACATATTCACTGTTCAAGAATCAAAAAGAAAATATCTAACTCTAATCATAAAAGACGGTTTATATACAATTTATGTCCTGCGAGTGGAAAATTCTAGAATTATGTGGAAGAAGTTATGTTTATCAAGGCAAGAATGCTTCTGATAATTTTTCGACCGTTTTGTTATTTATTTCGTTATTTTATTTCTTTATGTAGATCATTTCTGACGTTAGTCTCTTCTGAAAGAATGGTTTTATATCTAATATCTGGATATTATCCCAATTAAATTTGTGACAATATTCAGATTGATGTTGTGAGACAACATTATGAGCGCTATTTAATTTTCTAATGTTAGTTTTATGTTCATTTATTCTAGTTTTAATTTTCTTTTTAGTTTGGCCCACGTAGTGGAGTCACAATCAAGGCAACTTTACTATTTTATATACGACATTACATTGTTCCATTCTTTCTAATCGGTCTTTACCCGATTTAATAATGGAATTTAACGTATTGATCGGTTTGCTATTTTAAAATTATTTTTTTTCCGCAATCATTTTAAATTTCTCCGAGATATCCTTCATATAAGGTATTGTAAAATATTTGTTTATAAAATTCTTATTATAGTCATAATCATCCCTTGTATTATTATATAAATTATTCCGTTTTGATAAAGTATTAATTCTTTTATTGATTGTGGAAAAAATTATGTCCAAGAGGTAATCATTAGACAATAGAATATTAATCATGGATTCAATGTTATCGCTATGGTATTTAGGATGTGACAAAAAGAGAATTCCATCGAGTTGATTGACTGATTATGACCTCTTTTATGTTCTACAGGATAATTTGATTTGTAACCAAGATATCATCCCGAGTTCGTCGGTCTTTTGTAATTGTCAAACTTAATGCATCTATCCTCCACTTTTAGACTCACATCAAGAAAATTAATAAAACCGTCATCATTGTGTTCAGAAGTGAATTTCAGTCTGTTATGATACGAGTTAAGTTTATTTAGAATTCCGTTCATTTGGTTGATCGGAACGGCCAAAATAATATCATCCACATATCTATAATAGATTGTAATGTTGTATATTCATACTAGAAAATATGTTTTTTTCCAGGTCTTGAATTACTATGTCAGCCAAGATAGATGAGAAGGGAAATCCCATGGGCAAAGATCTGTTTGAAAAAATGGTTATCAAATTTGAAATAAAAATTATAAAAGTGAGCGAATTTACTAGAATACTGATTATTTCATTAGTCAACATCTAATAAATTTGCTCGCTTTTGTAATTTTTACTTTGTTGGAAGATATAGAATCGATTCCCAGATGTGTAGTGTTGTGTCGATGACAATTGAAATGTAACTTGGGTCGAATCTATATCTTCAAACAAGGTGAAAATTACAAAAGCGATCAAATTTATTAAGTGTTGGCCAATGAAATAATCAGTATTCTAGTAAATTCGCTCACTTTTATCATTTTCACCTTATTTCAAGATACGATTCTTTTGTGCACGAAAGTGTCTAGGGATATTGCAATTGGAAAGCATCCTGTGTGTCAGCACTGTTAACAATGTTTGAGCGTTTGACGCTTGTAGTTGAAACTGTTCAAACTACCAATTTTCAGCCGCTGGATAACGAGCGACAAATCTATCGGTCCAATTGCTTATTCTAGCAGCACTTTACGTGAAAATGTACTTTTATGGGCAATGGTACACCTTGTATTCTTACAACACGGTCCCTGCTGTGTACATCTTTATACCGTGTTAGAGTCCCTATCTCAGATCTGCAAGCACCGTGCTCAGCATCTGACAACTGTCAAATGGCAATTGCACTTGTGAACTTGTTGTAACGTTCGCGCGGTTAAGAAATGGCAGCGGAAATAAAGCCCGCCCCGGGAGTAAATCATGATAAATTCAGCAGCAGCCGCAAGCCGATCCTCTTGTCAAAATTGGAGGGCTGCAGCGACGACGTTAATGCGGCTATCATTATCCCACGGGAAGAGGGTGTAATCAGTGTTTGCGATGACAGGTATCTATCCGTCCAAGATATTTTCCAAGACTGCGTATTTTCGATATTTTTCTTAAGCGCACGCTCTTTTATACGTCTCTTATTATCGTCTCTATTTATATTTTCCATCTTTAGAACTTTCTTATTTTCGTTGTGAAAATTGCGCGCAATTTTTTTACTACGTGGACACACCTTGAAACATCCATTTTTCTATTTTATACGTTACGTATAAAATATGTATATTACGTAGTTCTTGTATATTAAATATTATCGAAACTCCATCAAATTGTATCAGCATATAGAAAATTTTGATACACGCACACATACATCTGCATATATTCGCGCGTGTGTGTGTGTGTGTATGTGTGTGTGTGTGTGTGTGTATCTGAGCGAGCACTCGCTCTCTCTCTTTCTCTCTCTCATTCTTACTTAAACACACACACATACACAATCCTTTTATATATGTATCCTTATATCAATTGCAGGACTCTTTTAAAAGGCGATGTTTAATCGCTAGTTTTACTTTGACTTTTTTTTTACAGGACAGTTAGAGTATGGCTGAAGCGAGATTCTGGTCATTATTGGCCGAGCATTTGCCAATACATGCCAGCAGGTGCTACCTCTATGCATTATTGCGTAGAAACGAGGCAGTTATTTGTAGGCCTGGATAATGGAAGCATTAATGTATGTCATGTCATTGTTACGTCACTTTTACTCTGTCCATCGTTAGAATAGTACTTGACTGGGATTATAGGTATTGACTTGCCTTTTCAATTATAGGAATTTATCTTGGAACAAGATTACAATCGAATGACGGCTATGCGCGATTATCTAGCGCATCAAGCAAGAGTCACAGGAATCATTTTTGCAGCAGATTTCGAATGGGTCTTGAGTATAGGCCGTGATAAATTATTTCAATTACACAGCTCCGAAACAGGACAAAAATTGGGATCGTACCAAACAGACGCGTGGTATACCGCCCTACAGTATCCTTTTACAAAAAGTCTTATGTGTTTGTACAAATGAAAGATGCTTTGGTAGAACGTACTCATCTATGAGAAACTTAACTCGCGCGTCTACAGATTTGACGCCCAATCCAAACACGCTTTCGTAGGAGATTATTCTGGTCAGATAGCCATGCTAAAGCTGGACAATAGTGGCGTTACCTTCATTACTACATTAAAGGCGCACACGGGAAGTATCCACACGTTGGCATGGGACTCGGAGAAACAATTGTTGTTTTCTGGTAGTTTTGATCAAAGCATCATCGTTTGGGACATTGGAGGTCGTCAAGGCACTGCTTATGAACTTCAGGGACACCAGTAAGCGCGCACGTGAAAAATTCTTTCAAAAATTTTGGTTGGTCGGAAATATTACTTAAGTCACTTTTGAAACATGTTCTGAAAAAAAAAAAAAAAAAGAAAAAATTCTCTCTTTCAGTAATAAAGTAACGGCATTATGCTACGCGAGCGCCGAACGCTTGCTCTTGTCTGGAGGCGAGGACGGTGTGATCGTTTGTTGGAATATGGCGGCAAATAGGAAGGAAACCGCCGCTTGGGTCGAATCCGATGTCTGTCAGGTATATATTTCGAGAGAAAGTCTTTAAATATAATATCAATCGCCCCGCTTTACAACATTACTCTAAGATGCTCCAACGTAATCCAGGCTTGTGGAAGACCCTTCTTCTGGAATATAAAAGCTATGATGGATCAACGACAGTTGGGATTGAGGCAGCATCACTGTCGCTATTGCGGTCGCGCGTTATGCGCTCGCTGTACATCACAACGAATACCGATTCCGGCGATGGGCTTCGAGTTCGAAGTGAGAGTTTGCGATCAGTGTCACATACAGCTCAAGTCGGAAAAGTAAGTTGTCAGATGAGCTCCCATCGTGTTCTCTCTTAAGACATACTAATAATGAAAAGTATTGCAAAGCGAAACATACAATATTTGCTTTTTATTCACATAGCCAATCATCGTTGGCCTCCTTCCATGATGCCAAGCACAGTGTCATCGGGATGGATTTAGACGCTCCTAGGCGAAGATTGTTGACTATCGGCCAAGATCGCGTTATTAAGATTTGGGACGTGTCCGCGCTCTTTCAGTGAATTTCTACGTGTATGTATGTCGATAATCTAAATTGCGTGATATGAAAAAATAATCAAATCACCGAGAGATATCGTCATACTCGGAAGAATACTCTGAAACGTATTTTTGTGATTATATATGTAATTATGCCTGTTTGTGAAGTCGGTGATCGGTGATTACGTAACTTGAGTTGGACCGACGAGCTGATAGTGACGATATGAAGCGATCATTTGTCAGTTTGTCGGTGATAACACTAGAATCTGCTTAATCCATATCCATATTTTCTGTATGGGAAATCAGGAAATAATTGGAGAGATAATGAATATGACGTAAGCCTGTTAATTCAGTGGCATTGTCTTTAAACCGATGTTGTATATTGATGTAGAAAAGTATTTACTTCCAGAAGAGCGCTTGCGCGACTGCGCAACGTAATTACACAAACGTAAAAAGTACTATATATGCAAGGTACATGGACTCCCTTTGGAAGACCAGGATGACGACATCGTGATAATCACGACGCAACACAACACAGATGTAATTAGCAGTATTAAAATATCTTTCCGAGAGTATATATATATATATATATATATATGTGTGTATATATATATATATGTATATGTATAAAATTGAATTTTTTTTTATATAACATATTTATATTACTCGAAGATGGTCTCGAGATGAAATCTTTTCGTTAAATATTCGAATAAAACTCTTTGTGCAATCACCGATTTTTTTTTTGCAAAATTTGCAAGATTACACATTGCGAATCGAGGGGCCCATATCTCAAGATCGTTTTGCAACTTTATACATATACACCATAATCGTCGTATATATTATACATTTTGTTATTATCAGAATCTTAAAAATATCTTTACGTTGTTTAAATAAATTTTTGATTTAAAAAATAATCAAGAAAGTACTGATTGATAACCGACCAGTGATGTAAGCATCGAAACTATTTTAATGTTAATATATGTGTTTTTATCTGATAAAAGAATAGAGGGAGAAAATCTTTTAAGAATTTCCAATTCATTTTTTACATATTTTAAATTCTTATATATTATTAAACTACTAGCAATTTGAACATAAAAATCTTAAACTACTTATACTATCTTTGAATCGACTCAGATAAGTAGCATCTTGTATCAAGTCCTAATCTTATTTGTTATATAACTCATACAAGATTGTTTAATGTTATTGTATCGTATCGTGAGAAAACGCGAGACCAGACGGAGTATCCACAGTGCAGTTAATAGTACTAGTTACTTCTTGACTCGCATTCAAGTCTCCTCAAATAATATCAATAGATAGATACAAGCTGTGCAAAGTTAATTCGCCTTAACTTGACACAATTTCTTGCAAATATTTTAATTTATTTCTTTGAATACAAAGAAAAAGAAAAATGTTACTTTATAAATATTTCTCTGTCGTGTATCTTGCTGGCTGATAAAAATTTTATCAACATTTGTGAAAAACGGTCAATGATGAGCTTCCTTCGAACTATGTGTCGAAAAATCTGAAAATTCATAGATAGATAAGATACAGTAGCAAAGAGCTTGATCGTTTCATATATACGCCAGGCAATGTATACTGCATGCAATTTAATCAGTTCATCCTCGTATGATAAATGTATATACATACATACATACATACATAAAATGCATATATTGTACCTAACATATATATGTTAATTATTTCATCAGTATCACCATCGTCGCGTAATTTTTCCACCGCAATTTTGCAAGAGAGACGATCACTAGGAAGAAATCATCCTTGTTATCAAAATGTATCTAGATTTATTCGCAGGATAAATCTTGCATTTTGAATAGCTAGACGTGCGAATACAATTCGTACGGTCCAAATTATCTATATTGAATACAAATACAAGTACGTTTGTACAAACTCGAATGGAGAACACATATAACAAATTATCGCATTTTTATATGTTTTGCTAAAAAGTATGTATATGTTTATATTACCTAAATAATATATGAACGTGCTTCTTATTATATAAACGTTACGTCACACGTGTTACACGACCAAGTAACTGTGTATATTATTTATGTCGACTATGGATGGCTTGAAACTCTTTGAAATTCGTAGTTGGCATGTGTAAAGAAACAGACGGATAAATATTAAACTGTATGCTGCGACGATTGCTATTCACTACCGAAACACAGTATATAGATACATATAAACTGCGAAAAATGTAAAAAGCGATTAAGTCACGTGTATGTATTCTACTCACACGTCGAATTGATACAAAATGGAAATATATTTTCAATGTAAAACAGTTGTGCAATCTTGTTGATTTTTTTTCGAAAATGAATAGGATCAAGTTTGCAGTTTTCTTCACACACACATACACGCGCGCACAGAGAGAGAGAGAGAGAGAGAGAGAGAGAGAGCTGCTCGATCCATATTTATGATAATGTATTCAACTGATTCGTTAACACATAATATATTTATCTCTTTTAATACTTTTATTTTACAAATAATGTATTCGAACTATTATAATGTCTGAATCTACAAACGCTCAAACAAATGCTATCAAATAGAAATTGATGGAGTACATAATGTACAATAATCAAGGAGGAAAGTAAGTTTTTAATTCTTTTCCTCTTTATGAATTTGAAGTTACGTATTTAAAAACGAAGAATTTGCTAGTTAATTTTTAGATCAAAGCTTATGTTGCACATATAGAATGAAATAAAAGAAAACTGTATTAATATATTAAAGATTCCAATGAATATAAAGTGATATAATTTATAAATTGCTGAAATTTATTTTGCAACGTAGTATTTTCTTTTAAGAAAATACACCTTGCATATGAGTCTGCTACATTCATGTGTAACGATCTATTTTTAGTTTCAACAAGATTATTATTAGTTTCTAGTAAAGCGGAAGAAGTTTTCAATTAATAGGATATTTTTTATTAATTTTTTATTTTATAAAAATAAACAATTTCATTTAATAATTGAAGGACAGTCTTTAGGTACAACAAGTTTACAGCTCTGTAGCGTTCGGAATGAATTCTTGGCACTCGAATTGCACTCGAAGATCACGTGATTAAGCTCGCCATCTGCTAGCTCGCATCTCAGATTTACATTGCCGAACGCACCTTATATTATCAGTTTCTTTTGTTGGTCGAGCAGGTCGAGGGTCGAGGCCGATAGCGCCGATTTTATATTAGAGACGAGATCGCATGCACGGGGTATACATATCAGCAGGTGAGAGCGGCGAGATAGGTAATCTGTTACCTGACTGCAGGAAGCGATTCGACTTGGCGAACGCTGACGACCGGCACCAGTCGGTCCGTCTGGGTCCGTCACAGTTGGTTGTGTACGCAGTACGTACAGTGGTTGGATGGTTGGAGTCGGTTGGACGTGGTATCAAAGTACCATCCCCTCGCCCTCGCCCCCGCCGCGCCGCAGCGAGCGTGCGAGCGCGGTGGGGACAGGGGAAGCGGCCCGAAGCGGTCCGAAGCGTGTAAGACCTTACCACTACCTTCGCGCTCAGCCAGCTAGCCAGCTTCCACCTGGCACTTGGGCACTTGGCACTGCGGACTGGCACACCCGATCCCAGCCGAACCGAACTCCGAAGCAGCCGAGCGGACGTGTTAATGTGCCGGTTCACCGTGGTTCCATCCTCTGGAACGACGACGACGACGACGACGACGATCGCTCTTCGTGACTACCGCGCGACTCTCCAGGTCGCAACCGGTTGTGTTCGCTCCTGCGATCTCACCTCGACATTATCTTGTGCTCGCTTACATTTAGTCTCCATCATCGCACGAACGCATCTCGTCCATCTGTCCGTTCGTTCGTTCGTTCGTTTATTTATTTATTTATTTATTTATTTATTTACTTATTTATTCACTCGCTCGACCGTGCTCGCTCGCTCATCGTGCTGATCTCCAAAGAGAGCGGATATGAAAATCGAGCCCCTCATCGGAAGTCTAGTGCCAGTGTAGTGTCTCTTAATGGAGCGTGCCGCCGACATATAGCCGCTCTCGTCGTGTTTCTCGTTACTCGCAACAGGTATGTACGTGCTGGTAGCAAGTTGGCGATTCATGCAAGGATAACGTGTTCCTTCGTGCCCTCTCTCATTGCTCCGAATACTCCGAATACTTCGAATACTCCGAATACTCCGAATACTCCGATTGCAGTCTCGAGAATCGACTTATTATTCCTACAGTCCACCAAACGGGGTGGATGCGCATATTTCAGATGAACGAAGCGGAATGGAGGAGCATTCGGTTGCTTGATCGTTTCGGGAATGAATACGCGCGATCGAACGATAATCGGTTTAGAAAATACAACAACTTACATGTTACTTGGGAAAAATAACAATTGAAGTTTCGAACGTTTCGAACGTTTTCTCATAGCTTATTTCTCTCGATAGTTTGTTTCTCAAGATATATAATTGTAACTCCTCAAAGAACTTGCACGAATGTTGAATTATTCCTCGAATGGAAGTCGTTCTCGGAAGTAAAATAAGTTTCAATTCAGGTTCAGGAGAACCGATTAGTGTGGCCACGCCAACTATCGTTGCAGTAATTAATAAAATGCTTTTTCCAGATAATGATTTCGTAAATCTTCATTTAAATGTGCGAAAACAAACTTTATTTAATACCGCGTCGCATTTACCGGTAAATCAATCATTCTCGAGTTTTGTCCTTTCTAATTTTAAATTCTAAATGCCGCGTAATAGTACTTCACGCTTTCCACGACTATTGTCGCGTGAATCGAATGCATCTTATTGCAGAGACGGTCGCTTTAATAAAAAAAAAGTTAAGTGTGACGAATTACTTCGATACAAGTACGCGTGCGAATGTCGCAAGCGATAGGTATTACGATAGTAGAGATAAGTATGACGACGAGAGTGAGTGAGTGAGTGAGTGAGTGAGTGAGTGAGTGAGAGAGAGAGAGAGAGAGAGATAAAACTATAATTACGGGCTCACTTGACTCTTCTTATCTATACACAGTGTCTCAATTTATTTTTTATGTGTCACAAATTGTGTGTCATTATTTTTTAATAATTGATTCTTTGACAGGATCTAAAGTGATCGTTTCTTCATAAATAGAAGAGATCTCTAAGTGATCGAAAAAATCTTTTTCTAATAGATTACGTTACGAAACATATTTATTACTCTATTTAATTTTAGTTCTGAAGTTCGCTTTAATAATTTAATATTTTAATTTGAAATTTGACCGTAAGAGTATATATACGACCATAACAATTGAAAATATACTATAAACTGAAATTGGTTTCTTCGATAATTCTTCTCGTAAAATACAAAGGTAAATCGAATTGTTGAAAGAATCTATGGCAAGTGAGATACCCTGTACACACGTTAACACTGATAACAATATTCGCATTCCTCAGAATAAACGTCATCTTTATCTCTTCTTAACAATTTTTTATTGACCGCGTATCGATACACCATTAATTAATTAAAACGCGATTAATCACTACGATATCAATACGTATTAATACTGATTGCTGTCGATACAGATTATGCTATAGCAGATTATAACTAATGCAACTGAAATATGGCTTCCGGAAGACAATTCCTTGACTTATCCCTGCAGTGTATTTTTATGTCTTCTCGGGAGGGCGAGTTATAAAAAGAAAAACCGCGTAAATTGTATGGGCTCTCCCGATGTGGTCTCGATCCTCCGCGTCTCGTTTGATCACCCGTTAAAGTCTCCCGCGTGGCGCCTACGCCACTGACCGTTCTCCACAGATATTTTCAAAGTCAATGACTGCGACTGCGACTGCGACTACTCTGTGCTCACGCCCGTGCTTCAAGTTCATGGCGAGACAAGAATGCCCGCCTATAAAATTAAAACAGTCATCTTATAATTCAAACGTTCGCGAAACGAATCGACATGAACGTATACACACACGCATCACACACACACTCTCTCTCTCTCTCTCTCTCTCTCTCTCATTTCTTCTCTATAATTAACAACGCAATAATGATTTAAAATTGACAGAAATTTCATGATACGTATTGTTAACGGTAACAGATAATATGTAATACAAAGTATGAAATTAAAATGGACTTTGGATCGAATGATAACATACAATATTAAGATGCTCGCTCGCATAAATGATAATGTAACGTATTCGTAATTAACGGCAGAAAGATACTAGATTTTAGAATTTTAAACTAAACAAAATAGTTAATCAAATGATTCTCATCATTTCTCTTTTTTAATTTTTATACTGCAGTAGTAAGATTTAAAAAATAGACCTATATTTTCTAAAGATAAAGAATGAAGTTTCTTCTCGATTAAATCATTTTAGGATTGTAGTGACAATATGGAAATGAAATAATCAAGAGAGAAAGATAATTTTGATTTTTAAAACTATTATGTAATCGTGTTATTCGAATCTTAAAAAGGTCAATTCTCTCTTTTTGTCTCGCTAAAAGCAACAAATTATCAAACTACCTCGATAATAAACACACACACACAGTTGACGCTAAATATTCCTGAAATATTCATAAGATTTCTACAATTCCCAAAAAACATTTCGAGAATATTCCATATATATTTCGCAAAATTTTAATTTTTCCAGAAATTCCAAGTCCGATCCGTCCTTGAATCAATTTTTAAACAAAATTTTGCTTTGAGAAACACTTCACACTTTTACCTTGGAATCCAATTTTAGGATTTATTTTTACAGGCGAAATGCTGCGCTCCTTATGTTCTTTCCCAAATGATTCTTGTTAACGAGTAAATGCTCTCCGCCACGGCCCTCTGTCGGCGGAGATGTGTACTGTTCGCTCACTCGCGATTTTCGTGAAATATACAAAGAATATTCGTAGAATATTCTGAACATTTCGTCGACATTTGTATATTCTGTGACGATTCTTTCACACTGTGTCGCAATATTCAGCATATTGGGAATATCGAACTTTCTATGAATATTTAGCTGGGTACAAACGAAAAATGGAATAAAATGGATTGGAAATTTTCAATCCATCCGAATTCATATTTTAAATCTATAAAAATGAATTGGATTCCATATAAAAAATTTTTATACATGTAAAAGTTTGAATAAATTAAAGCAGTAATTACATGAAATTCTATAGTTATTATTTTGAAACTTTTATACAAAAAATATACGCTAGCTGTACAATAAAGGAAACGTATTAATATAAAATATGCATAAAAAAGCGATTAATTTATAAAATTATTAAAAAGGAATTTACATATTTATTATACACTTATTATACATTATTATTTACGTTGTTCTTTTTATGTTTCTTTTAACTATTAA